TTGTTTTCCTAGCAGTCCATGGTATTCTCAATACTCTTCTCCAGCACCACAGCTCAAAGGCATCCATTCTCCTTCTATCCTCCTTGGTCATTTTCCAACTCTCTCAGAAACATTCTGATTTGCCTTATTTTTAATAAATATTTTATTTTACACTGGTTTACTTACAAAGTATATATATATATACTGATTTTCACAACAGATCTCTCCCATTGCCTTTACCCACCCTCCCTCTACCCATTTAAGTGTGTGACCCTATGATTACTGCCTTGCCCAGCCTCACCCCCATGCTCCTGCCGTACCCCCTCGAATGCTCATACATGTTTTACTAGTTATCCTTCTGTTTCTAAAAGCAGGGTGTTATATGCTATTTCTCCTTGTGGGACCGAGTTAGTTCACTTACTGTTTTGCCTTTTGGCACTCTCTTATTTCTGTTGTCACCAAGTCTCCACAGCTGCTACTGTTGTTTTTCAACATCTCTCTGGCGATATAGCTGTCTTCTGGATCAAAGATGAGCTCGCTGCAGGGATCTGGGACCCATAGAATGCACCTTTCTTTCTGGATGGCAATGATTATCCTCTCCTCCACTTCTAGGATGTTTGTTTCAGTCATAGTGGGATGACAAAATCGACAAGTTCCCATATTAGTGTTGATACACTCTAGCAACATGCCCAAAATAAGTGAGGCTAAGTTTTATCATCTTTGCCTGCTAGTGGCAATATGGCCGCATCTTCTCTATACATATTCTTTGTCAGTCAATGATATATTCACTTTTCTTCCTCAAAACCACGCTTCTAGGTGGGAGGGGCTATTCTGTGAAAAGAGACCTCATGCTTGGAAAGGTGGAGAGTCAGTGAAGGAGAGTGAAGATCTTCAATGAGCTAGACTGACAAAGTGACTGCACCTATGGGTGCCAGGAATGGTGTATTCTTGGGGATTGGGCACTGGTGTTTAGAACCTCCTCTCCCCCAGGACAACTGATGCCAAGACATGTAGAGATCTCCAAGGGACATTGGGCCCACTGCAAGAAGAAAAGGATATTCCTCCAGAGCTAACAGAGAAAGAAAACCTTCCTGAGCTGATACTCTGAATTTGGATTGATGGCTTTATAAACTATGAAAGAATAAATTA